TAATGACCAATTTGTATCTTAACAAGTAACAGTTCATCTTAATTTAGTGAAGTAAGAAACAACAATGTTAATAATAAACTATACTCTGGAGGGTTAGTAGTTGATGTTGTGTTATCTATGAAGTGAACAATTCCCTTGGAGGACGATAGTGTCAAGGGATAGACATAGTTTCTCTCACGTGTCTTTGTGGAGGTAACATAATGACAGTCTTTTAAAAACACAATGGTTGGCTAGTTTGTTTTTTCGGCTTCTGTTTTATATGTTTGTCAGAACGATGGATCAAGATCAAGTTGGAGAAGAATTTTTTTTTTTTAATCTGATTTTCCTTCAATAATCACAAGTTAAAGTCAAGTCATAAACATAAAAAATCTTCAAAGTTCTTTTAACATCCTGTTATAACCCAGGTAGTGACGGAAACTTTCACGGATTGAATTTTGTGTCGTTACATTCGTCAAGTTGTGACTGATCGCTCTACTGGTCTCTTGTTTCAACTCCGAGGCAGATTTTGGCAGGATGGATGTTGTTGTAACTTATGATGCTCTTGTTGTTGTTGTTGTTGTTGTTGTTGTTGTCGTTATTGTTATCCATGTTTTTGTTTGTGTTCTTGTCATTGTTGTTGTCGTTGTTGTTGTCATTGTTGTCCTTTGTAAATTTTTTTTACGGGGATTAGCCCACCCGGGCACAGGTCATTGACCCACATCAGGGCCTGGGAGGCGAAAATGTAATAATAATAATAATAATAATAATAATAATAATAATAATTCATAAATTTAAAAAAAATACAAAATTAAAAACAAAAATAATAATATACTACTACTACTACTAATAATAATAATAATAATAATAACTAATAATAATAATAATAATAATAATTATTATTATTATTATTGTTATTATTAATGTTAATATTTGTTATATATTATTTATTATTTATTATTATTATTAAAGGACCATAAAGAAATACAAAAATGAAAAAAAAGATCAATAGTGAGAAACTTATGTAAGTTGTGTTGTCAATAGTAAGAGCAACAATTGAGACCCTGCAATTGTGTGTAGATGAGGCAGAAAGTCAGATCAGCAACCTGGGACTTGGTCACAATTTTCGTGATGCCATATGGCAGCAGGGTCTACCATTAGACAATACATTGTCCAATATCTTCCCAGGCGGGAGTACCTCCCTGTTTGGCAGCTGCCTACTACCTACAACGTGTTGTTGTTAGTGTTCTTGTCACCTGTTCTTGCTATTGTTGTTGTCGTTGTTGTCCATGTTAGTGGTAGTGTTCTTGCTATTGTTGTTGTCGTTGTTGTCCATGTTATTGGTAGTGTTCTTGCCATTGTTGTTGTTGTCGTCGTCATTGTTGTTAATGTTATTAGTAGTGTTCTTGCTATTATTGTTGTTGCTGTCATTGTTGTGCATGTTATTGGTAGTGTTCTTGCTATTGTTGTTGTTGTTGTCCATGTTATTGGTAGTGTTGTTGTTGTTGTCCATGTTATTGGTAGTGTTCTTGTTATTGTTGTTGCTCGTGTCGTTGTTTTCGTTATTGTTTGATCTGATGTAATGTTAAGTTGTCATCATCGAAGACCGTGTTGTAGCATACAGTAAATACCTTGGCCGGAAGGGAGCCACAGTGATACTGGTGAAGGTCACTCTGGTCTGCTGGTAGAGGCGGGATTTTTTCCTTCGCCTCGTTCATAGTTTATTTTCATATTATCCAACTCCTCTGTAATGTCCATCCCATTACCTGCTCATTGACGTTTATAATTGGTAACTAAGCCTCATGTCTGAAGCGGTAGACGGACAATTCGTCGTGGGTCTATTGAATACTGTGTTATATTAAATTTAAATCATAATGTCTTAATTTTGGAGGCGATGAAGCCATGGTTAGGTTAGGTTTATACTGCACCTGTGAACAGGTATCCTAGAACCGTCTAAAGCGTCTTAAGTAGTATAGTGATTCCTCTGTGGTTTCATTGTCAAGATGTTTCCTTTGTTCTGGAAGACAGTCGCCAAAGCTGCTCCGTTCTCTGTCAATGTGGTGTATGTATTCGTGTATTCATTTGTCTTAATACTAACGTTCTTCCTTTTTAATTCATGGGAAGGATGCTGTGCCTAAAAGCTCTTCTGGATATTTTCGTAAAAGCTTTATCGTTGAGCCTTAAATACAAATAAGAAATTCTAGCCTGGGTTCTTCACCACCCACAGGCAGACGTACAGCGGCAGATCATTTGAAAATTGAAGAATGAAAAGAACGCATGGAGGAAGGAGCCCCGAGGGGAGGGTTACAGGAAGAGTTCTGAACAAAAAGCAAAAATGATGAGGACTTCCCCTGTTACCCGCTTATAACACACTGGGAATATTATTGAGCCGTGAACCAAATTACTCTACCTCCTGGGCCACACGGAGGTACCCGTCGTCATCTGCATAATTTACACCAATCTGCGTTGTTGAAGGCAGCTTCTCGCCTCCCTCCCTTACTGAATGATAGACCAGACAGAGTTATATAGGAACGCCAGCGACAATCATTTCTTGAATTACGCACCGCACATGTCTCTATAAATGGATTATTGAAAATCTGGCTTCGTATTCAATAACATCACCATGTACGGTAGATCACAAGGGATATATACGGCACTGTACTCTACCTTTGACAACAGTAGTATAAGTCAATATGATCTTCCTCGGTGTGTGGTGTGAGAAGGATGTAAATGTACCGGGAGATATATGACACCTTTCTCTTGTTCTTCAAGGAGTAGAGGAATATTGTGAGGAATGTTCAGTGCAGTCTCGTGTCAGTTCTGTACGTGACACACAGTACCCGACCTTAAGAATACGGTAGACAGAGGTTAAATTAGAAGCAGAGTGTAACCTAAATTATCTTAAGAAATTTTATCTTTTATTACCATGTTTTTTCGTAATCAGCTTTTTATTTTCACTTATTTATTAGTTGTTTTTTTTTATTGATTTTTTTGTGTTTTTCTCCTTCATGCAGTGTCAGTATGTCATGCAGCAGTGTCAGTATGTCATGCAGCAGTTTCAGTGTGTCATGCAGCAGTGTCAGTGTCTAGAAAAATTCCCTAAATTTGTTTTAATCTAACTATATCCACAAATTTTAATAAAAGACAAATTTATGAGCATTCTACTTTTGTTTTTGTTTTTTGTTGTTGTTACCTTCATGAGCTTCCAATGCTCATACACACGCTTAACGTTGTATAGAGATGAGTAAACACAGAATATTGATCAAACGTTCCTCACTGTTTACACACTTGTTCAGCCTCCCGCCAGTAATAGGAACTGTGATTTAATTTACACATAAAATATTTACTATTTCATAAACATAATTACTGGGTTAATATAAATCTCCAAACGCCTGTTAGTAAAGCGTTAATTCATGATGAAAAGCCTCTCTCTCTCTCTGTAGCCATTCTGATTACTGTAATATATGTGTGTGTGTGTGTGTGTGTGTGTGTGTGTGTGTGTGTGTGTGTGTGTAGTGTGTTTGTTTGTGTTTTTGTTTGTGTTGTGTGTATGTGTTAAAGTTCGTGCAGTATGTATTAGCTCTTAGCCCTCCGGTTACGTAAGCCAAAAATCGAGCAGCACTCAGACTCTTTGAAAACAAAAATCATTAAAAATTCCCTCAATAGCTGTGTAGTGATATCTGAAGAGCTTAAATATGTCATACATGTCATTAACAAGGTATAAACAGCATCACATTACAATACATAAACTTGTCTTCTTTTATATCATTGAAAATTTATTATTACTCTCCCTTACTGACACAACATTCTATCCTTAACACCTGAAAATACTTACGCTCTCATGATAATTGAAATAATACATTACAGAATTATTTTCATATATCCGGATTATTTTTTTTTTAATTTCCGGTATCTTGTGTGATTTTTTTTTCAGATATCCGATATTTTCGTAATTAATCGACACATATCAGATATTTGACACCAATAGTTATGTGTGATGAGTGTTGATATGACATCAGCACAATGTATACTGGACACTATACTTACTGCATGCATGATTATGGGTTGGTTTATGCACTGTAAGTGTGATTCAGCTGAGTAAACTGCCACATTATAACACAACTCACTATAACTGACACAACTCTCTCTATGACACAATTCACTATAACTGACACAACTCATTATAACTATGACAACTCATTATAACTATGACAACTCACTATAACTATGACACAACTCATTCTAACTATGACAACTAACTATAACTATGACACAACTCATTCTACCTATGACAACTCACTATAACTATGACACAGCTCATTCTAACTATGACAACTCACTATAACTATGACACAACTCATTCTAACGATGACAACTCACTATAACTATGAAACAGCTGACTATGACACAACTTACTCTAACCATGACGCTATGAAATATTTCAACTTTAATACAATTCATTTCAATTGTGACAAAATTCACTATACTTTACTGACTTTTGAAGGAACTTTTACTAGTGGGCCATATTTTCATTGGGCATACAGTATATTTACAGAGCATACAGCATATTTCCATTGGGCATACAGTTTATTTACAGGGCATACAGTATATTTACAGGACATACAGTATATTCACAGGGTATACAGTATATTTACAGGGCATACAGTATATTTACAGGGCATACAGTATATTTACATGGGGCATACATAATATTTACATGGGGCATACAGTATATTTAAAATGATCTACCAGTAAAAAACTTGACACAGCATACTTAACATTATCTTCATACAGCAATACAATATATCGTATGACAAATCACACTATACTTATGACACAATGCACAGTCGGGGACAACAGTTTGCTCCTCGTGGTGAAACCGAGTCACGGGAATGAGTCTACGAACTAACTTACCCTAACTGTTGTATCTCGATTGGGGTCGATACTGCTTCATTTTTGGGCGAGTTCGAACTTTTGACCCGGCTATATAGTTCCCCCCAAAAAATATCATTAGATTTCCGTCGCTAAAATTTGAAACGCTGGACGAAATGCTTTGATATGATCCCCAGTGCATCATCATAAGATGTGGTACGACCGCTCTCCATATCAGCAACAGCTATAGATGGAGGGAAGGAGTCGTCCTTGTAAGGCGTACTAGATACTTCAATATAAACAAGGAATCCATTAAGCTGTGTCTCGTGCTGGGTAGAAGCAATGCATATATAAACAAACCACTGACTGGTGTCTACAATAACACTGAAATGTACATTAAATGAAGTGTTTCGGAACATCATAACTGAGACTGAGACAGACCTCAGAACGGACATTTCATCATTTCGTCGTTATACTAACGGAGTTTCATTCATACTGTTCCACAATATTCCTGCTCACGATATGTTTGATTTATGAAGAGTAGCTAAGTAAATATTACTTGATATTAGTGTGAACAGCTACAGCAATATACATTATATCGGTCTACATGGGATCTGCCATGTTAATGATATGTAAATTGCATTGGTTTAACACCGAAATAAGGTTTCAAATCAAGGGATTTGCAACCAACCTAGAGTAAGACATTTGTGGTTGTAAGTTTCAGTGTGGCTGAAGTTGTTTCATGACGCCTGACCCATCGTGATACTGTGGGTTCACGTCGTGCTATCTCAGTGTTACGTATACCCCCGTTGTGAAGGGCAATAACAGCACCTCTCACAACTTGCGATGTCTCCCTGATAATTCCTCGCTTCATTAGATGTAAAATCCCGTTGATGACTGGCATGGTGTTGGTGTCCATTTACGACATCCACTCCGAGTCCTGTAATATATGATCTGAAGCCGTTCAGAAACAGGTCGAGAAACATTGCTCGGAAGCCTCAAATCACATTACGCTTCCCTACGTGTTCCTCTTGTCTGGTAAAATGATGCATGGACACCTCAGACTCGCCTCCACGTATAAACTTGACAATAAAATGATACATGGAGACATCACTCGTGACCTGGTCTGACGAGGCGGCTTCAGCTGAGGAAGTGAACCCTGGGGAAATCAACACATGACACACTGTTGGCCCTTGACGTTCACCCCAAGAGTCGCTCCTCCACACTCTTACCTCTTTGGGTCAGATTTATCGGTCCGGGCCCCTCTGTCGATGTAATGCCTACTGGGATGTGCCGGTAAAAGTGTTTGCCACTGGGAAAGGAGTATATTTAAATGTCCCATGCTCAAAATTACTAGGACTGGGGTAAGATAGAGTATATGTTAGTGCCTTGAGTGCAGGGTTACCAGTAAAAGCCTTAGAGAGGAGTTGGGGAAGGAATGTGCCACCGGGTATGTAAGTCACCTGTTGGGGGTAAGAGCCTGTTTTGTTGGCCATCATCCTCACCACTCTTAAATTTCATCCCACTATTGATAATATTTAGTGCCAAAGTAAAAATTTTGCCCACCATGCTGCAATATTCATAAAAATTAGTGATATTTGAGGCCTTTATTACACTGTAAATCCCCTATGTTAAGAGGTTGAAGAAAACGAACGATAATATATTATAACGTAGGTATGGTTACGGAGTGGTTATCGTATTGGACTATCACTCCATTAGCCACGGGTTTGAATCCCCAATGAGGATGCAGTGTGTGATTGATGTCCAGCTTGTTCACTAGATCTACACAGACCATAGGAGGATATACACCTCTTATATCTTACTCTATACCCGAGGGCCAGAGCTTCCTTGGGTATAATGAAGGCTGGGATGGTCGTTGAATACCAGCTGATACAGGAGTTATTGCAAGGTATTGTCTATATTGGTGGTGCTCAATACTTGACACTTCATGCAGGAGAGTGGGAGCGGGGCGGGGATAAGCACTGCCACTATAGTGAATAGGTGTTTCCGTATGGCATTTTGTCTGAAGGATAATAACCATATGACAACACTGATTAATTGCTCGATGATTTAGCTATGAACCTGGACACAGTTTCTGAATAAGTGGTTTGAAAATCTCTTGACCTGAGACTTGAGACTGAAGGAAGGTGGTGCTGGGGTAAAATAGGAAAGATATTTAATTCGATTTTAGTCGAGTATAAACCCATCAGAACTTTAATCCAAAATACATAACCTAACTCAACCAAGCCTTCTTAATCATATCAGACCTAATCTTGGCTACTTAGTCCAGCTAATCTAACCTAACCTTACCTAATCTAAGCTACCTAACTTAACCCACTTAATCTAATCAAACCTTTCTAACCTAACTTAACCTTTATATTAATGGGGTTCTGTGGTCTCAAGGTCATGTGTTCTTGGGATCCATATTCTGGGGTACCATGTTCCACGGTTCCATGCTCTGAGGGTTCTATAATCTGATGGTTCTGTGTTCTGGGGGTTCCTTTTTTGGGGGGTTCTGTGAGCTGAGGGTTTCATGTTACGTCAATCTCTGGAGCCTAAGGATTATAGCATGTAACCCACCAGAAACCACTCATAATAACATCATAAGATAAACTTCATTATTAAATTAATAGGCAACATAAACGTTCTGTCTCAGCTAAAGATAAAATCATATTTCTATTTGTTATCTTGAAATCAGTAACCTAATTTAATGAGGTATTTTTAATAGATATTTTCCACAACTACCAGACACAGCTACCACCAGTCTTTGTTTAACTTTCTCATAACATAATGCGTGTAAAACATCTCGAGTAGAAGTTGTAAGTGATGGAACCAACAGTGACTTAAGGACAGTCAGGCGGTTGCATTTATGAAAAAAAAACCCCACCTTACCCTAAAAAAATTCCTACAAAAGGTTTCTCAACTGTTTATTGTAGTATCAGGTGTGCTTAATAACATATCACACGTCTACCACAGTCTGACCACGAGAAAGGTCTAATTTTTAAGATGGCGTCGAATAGCCACCAAATCCTAAAAATGCCTGGTTCACAGCCCTGATAGTGGACATTTATGTATCGTTGAGCAGTCAATGGGCCCTGGATTTCAGTCTCACTTCGATGTTTGGACAGACTTGGTGTGGTGTTATTTTAGTATGTCTTTATTTTCGACTGGGAAGCATCATCAATTGGTCTCTCTAGCAATGAGAGTTGATGAGGAATAATGTTGAGAGGTGAGGTTCGTGGCCTGGCACTATAAACCTTGTTGTTATAGCTAGTTTACACAGTCTTAATGGTACATATATGTTTATTTACTGATATTATGTTAAACTTGTATTTTACTCTAATTATCAAGTCTTGCTTAATAACTGACAACCTACCAAACTGTTTGACTGAACTGACTTTTGCACCATCACAAGTTATACCTGGCATTATATCTTTAATAATACGATTATAGAAAATATATTAACCAAACTGTAGTTAATCTTAAGCCCAGTTTTGTCATTTTCATCACTCGCTGTAGTTTCACTTTTTCATAAATAACTTAATGTAATTAGCATCAAACCCTTTGACCTGCACCCTCTTTGTGTCCTCCTCCTGAATATTTTGTGAGCACCTTACATACACAGGCAGTTCGCAACGCTGAACTTGTGGAGGATTGAAAAGGGACTGTGTAAAAATTAAACGAGAAGGAAAGGGTCCAAGGGGTAAGAATAGAGGGAATGAGAGAGTATAAAAGGGGGTGCAAGTTATAATGAGAAGGTAAGGTGTACGGTCCCTGGTGCATGGGTTCACCTTCTGTCCAGTAAGAGACGGCGGACAGGGGAGGAACAACGTGGATTATTATCGCGTTGGGTATAAAGATATTTTTTGTGGGGGTTAATATTGTATTCATTACTTATGCTTCCGTTAGCACCCTCACTTATATGATGATTAAATTACTTCAACAATGGTATTAGTATTCATGTTTCATATTTAAACTCAAGTATAAGTGTATTTTGAACCTTAATGCGTCAGTCTTGTTAACTCCTTCGCTACGGGGACGCTACTTTTATTTAGCAACGGCAGACGATTTTATTCAGTAGAGAGAGAGAGGACCCCGTACACAAGGGGTTAGTAGATTATCTCCCCTCTTAGTTTATAAATGGTTGATGGTCACTCCTTCTACCTCTCTGTCGTATACATGTCACCAAATGGTAGTTCTGGAAGTCTTACAACTCCTGTCAAAAGGAATGTCTATATTGCATTTCCCTGTCTATGTATAGGAGAGTGTAACATTTAACTCATTGTAGCTGAAGTTCACCTACCCTAACCTAACCTACCCCAACCTAACCTAACCTAACCTAACATAACATAAACCCACGGAAGATGTTTTTGGCTCAGTGGGAACCATTTAGCTGTTTCGCTTTTCATTTCACCAAACTGTAAATCATCCAAGTGACGTTTATCCTGCGCCGAGATTTCTCCTGAGAATGTTGCAAATTTGTACAGTATTTTCCCCATTCAGGAGCTTACACGGTGCAACATCTTCTGATATAACTTAGGTACTTGGCTTAGGTAGACTTGTTGCCTTGTGTTTCAAAGGTGTTATGTGCTGAACAGATTATCTAATTATAATACAATTTTGTTTACACCTGATCGCGGAGGACTGGAGATTCACCATCATTATTCCATACCTGAACATTAAAGCTGTTAGACTCGTAACCTCCTGACCTTAACCTCTCGACCTTGACCTCCTGACCGTCACAGAGAATAAGTCTTACTACAAGAAACCAAGTTACATACCTCTACCTTGCTATTAGAATTAATGAAAAACGATAAGACATACATAATAATAATAGTGGTTGTTCCCTCGTGTAACGAGGATGGCCGGCCCAAGGGCCACCTAGGCGTGAATTTGTTTAAGAAGTAGAAGCTGTCGCCTACACAACAACCACACACTGAGTTAACGAGTTGCATGACCCGGTGTCAAGGAATAGTAAGACCGGACAACTTGCCAACTGCACTGGCTAACCATTACCCTGGAATACGATCCGCAAATCGATTAACATCCGGGTTCCCAATTTCTGCTGGGTAGATAGAGGCAAATGGCGTAAAGAAACTTGCCCATAGTTTCACACTGCCCGGACATCGAACCTGGGTCCGCTCGCTTGCGAGGCGAACCTGCTGACCATTACTCCACATTACATACATACATACATAAATACATACATACATACAAACATAGAGAGATGAACTGTTTAGTGTCTGAGTCAAAGGTATCAAAAACCTTACATTTTACACATTAACGATATTACTCATGACACACACACAGGACACACTCCGAGGGGCACCATCTTAACATTTTCCGGTACATAATACAATATAAAGGCACCTGGAGACGGACTGAGGCAGGAGAGTTGTATACAAAAAAAAAAAACTATATTGATTACCGTTTACTATAATATGAAATAAACTTTTGAAATTGAATTGAACTATATTACCACTACACTTGATCACCATTGTATTCATATTTTAGCTTCATGGTTTAAAAAGGGGTCTAAAGATCACCCGGTCAAGCAACCAATGTGGTAAACAAACGGAGTAATCACTGAGTACCTCTTGGGGGCTTCTCGTGGCACCTGGAGACGGGGTGAAGGAGAGTAGAGGGAAAGATGGATTGAGCAGCAAACATGATAGATAGCAAATGGGATCACCTGAAAAATCATCGCCCCAGCTTATTTCACCTGAAGATTAACTACCTTAATGCTAACTTAATCTAATCTAAACCTATTCTATTCTAACCTAAATCTAACCTAATATATCCTAACCTAACCTCATCCTCCCAAAATAGTTTTAGGATGGTTTAATCTTTAGGTGAAATAAGCTGGGGCGATGATTCTTCAGGTGATCCGTAAACCATGTACATTGTACAGTCCCCTTCACTAGTGCGTTTACAGGGGGTCGTCAGGTTATGTGTAGTGTGGCAGCGCTGTGTTTGTTTACAACCGGCAGAAGGAAACTCAAAATAGTAAACATACATTGGAATCTAAGTAAAACACTATTAAATCAAATATCTCAAAGATAATGATTTGTGGAAATTTTATATGACGAGTCCCTGTAAACGCTCTAGTGAAGGGGACTGAACCTACACTCACGATATAAACATTTTTTTTTTCGGTCATATCAAAATATATTAATATGAAGGCTCTAATATTCATCTACCCTAACAAGTAGAGGTTTTATGTTCTTGGGATTAAATAGTCTTTCAGTGTATAGACAAAGTGGTTCGAATAAAATAAATATATACTCGAACGCTGTAAGTAAAGAGCTACCTAGGTTGTTGTAGCAGACTAAATAGGCTATGGGGAGTAAATGTCCTTGACTGTACTTAATAAGATGCCTAACCTAACCTAACCTAAACACGTAGTTGTATATGTGAAAACTAGTTCGACCCTTTGAAGGTACTGTACAGGTGATATAGACTGCCCTGACATGCCTTCCGTCTCTCTACTGTGGCCAGCACTTTGTACACTATACTGTACATAATACGCTACTGTCCAAAGATGTCCTTCACGGTGCCTATTGTACACCTCCTGTAGACCTATCAATCACTAATATAGGTTCCAGGTGCATTTTATATTATGTAGCTCACTGCCCTACACCACCCCTCCCCCGACAGTGAGTATAAAGGGTGCGCAATAAACTAGCGTCCCCGTGGCATAACCTAAAACTACAGTAGAATCTATTTTGGGATATTCGTGTAATTTCTCCTGTATGAAGGAAAAGGTACCAACAAAAAGAAAAATAACGAGATGAAACTTTCTCTTTGCTGGAAAAGTTTTTTTTTCTTTAAGTTCCTATATCAGTGGAAGATGCTGTCAAGTGTCACGAAGAGTTGTCTTGGTTAAGTCTTTGGTTGAGGCATGTTATTTGGTCTGGTTAGGTGGCGGTACACGGACAAAAATTCATTGGACTAAAACTCACTGGACAAAACTCACTTGACAAAACTCACCGGACAAAAATTCACCACCAATATGCAAAAGGGGATAAATAGCTACCAGATCATCAAATCGGTTCTTGAGACGTTTATGAAGGTCCTGATAAGTCCTTTTGACTCTTCGTGGAAGGTTGGCCCCCCTGCTGCCTCATGTGTTCACCAGTGCTTCACCCTTCAGGCTACTTTTAACCAGCTGCGTGGATGAAGAATTCCAGCTCTCATTTGTTGTTTGTGTGAGCCTCGTTATTTAGGGTGACGGTGTACACATTGCAGGTGGGAAAGCAGATGGTAGTCGAATCTGACGGAAGGTACCAGCCAGTAACATAATGTTCTCTCATAATAAAACAGGACGTCTTCCAATCTTTTAGCTTGCCTTCCTTCGAGAACACCATACCCTCCTCTACCTTCTCTAGTGGGATAAGTACTCGCCCACACGTGCCACAAAACAATTTACAATAATCATTCTCACGGTAGTGGTTTACAAGGCCAAATTATTACACTTTGTGGCAGGTAGTTTTTGTTAGGTGAAAAACAAAAACTCCCCTGG